CAGCATGTCAAGCATTGCTCTTCAATTGTTTCTCACTCAAGTTTCTGTATTTTAATAAACTCACATATATTTTTTTTTATTTTTTTATTTTCCCAAAGCACAGTTATCTCCAATTTGCTTGGGAAAAATAAAAAGAGCTGCATGAAGATACTTAAGACCTGGAGGAGTCTTTCAGAGATCAGCCCCAGTGTTCAGTCCTGGGGACCACCGACTCCCTCTGTTTCCTCATTTACTTTATGTGGGTTCATTAATCGAGTAAGTTACTTGTGCTGCCAACAACGGCAACATAACCAACACAAGTCAAACTTAGGGACTAGGCAAGTGAGCAGGACTAAACAGCAAATAAAAATTTACCAGAAAGTACACCCAGAATCTAAGCAGGATGTGGGCTAGGCTGTCACACAAATATAAGCAACCTGGATAATTCCTCAAAAATAACCAGAGTAAACAACAGCAATGAGCCTAGGACAAGCAACTGCATCATGCTCATAGCCAATTTAATATTTGCTCTCATAGGCAACATTAAGTGCTTAGTCAAAGGTAATAAAGCCCACACATTACTGTCATCTAGAATCCTCCTCTATAAAAAAAACAAACCCCCAAAAATGTTTCTACAAAATCACCTCAGTGGATTATCTGGCTTGCTGCAAAAGTACAGATGGCCTATCAAATAACAGAATCTGCATGTCTGCAATAAATAAACCTTCTCAAATATAAATATAAATATAAATGTAAATATGTATGTGCCCAAGTACGGATCCTTTTGTGTTTATGATACATGAAATTGTGTACAGAACAGTCATGGACCATTTAAGGCAACTGTATACTTGAAGAACAGGGATTGGAGTCTGCCTAGTTAAGCCACTGGTCATTAATGCATGGCCTGTGAGAAATCTCTCAATGGTGAGATCCACACCATCACTCCTGTGCACAGGAAATTAACACATTAAAAACTACAGACGCAGCAGGAGCAGTGAAGCAGGATGCTGCCACCTGCACCATGGTATTTACCCAGCATCAAAGACAAACAGCAGTACGGCTGATTATCTCTGCACTGGGCATTTCAGAAGGAGATCCAACACAGGAACAGATACCAAGCTCTCCAGTGGTTATTATTAAAACATATATTTTAGAAGATCCCAAAGAAATAGGGGAAGGGAGGAAGGCAGACAAAGGATTATTAAGGAGCTGATATAAAACCAGGGTTATCTCTTTTTTTTTCTTTTCTTTTAATTGCGCTGGGAGTTCAAACATTCTCTTGATAATAGGGAAGCTTTGGGGATAGAAGGTGTCTCCTATGAAGACTCATGCTTCATGCTTGCCAAATACTCATCACTCTCATCTTGTTATAAAGAACTGTAAATTACATTCACAGCAACACAAGGGTCAGCACAAGGTACAGGAACTGCCCATACTCTCAACGGACAAAATATTTTCCCTGCATCCAAACCAGCTTTAGGTGTGAGGCAACAAGAAAACATGGATGACATGTTTAATTCAAAGCTTTAAATATTTAATCCTCCTATTCTTACCCACAATGAGTTAGTTACAAAGTTAGACTACAGAAGTATCATCTTCTAACTCCAGTTCTGCGAGAGCTAGCTTTTGGCACCACTGACACATGTAAGGAGTTGTATCCAGGCAGAGGAGTTTCACATCCCCTCAGCAGACTTAGTAGCATGAGCAAGTCCGTTTCTGTATGCAAGATCAAACCCTTTACGGATAGGATTAGAAAACGGTGTAGATTTTTGTCAGTTCTTTCATGGATTTATCCATCCCTCTCACGTGGAAAGCTATAGCCATTTAGAAGAGGTTACTGAACTCAGCCTAACAAGATCTGTCTTGCTGTCCCCATCTCACACATGGGGAACTCAGAACAACACTTCAAGAGCTTGTGACAGTCACATGGCAAATCCAAGGCACACCCAGGTCCAGAATTGTAACCTGCCAGCTACCCAGGCTCCAGCTTTCAACACAGACCAGCACTTTTCATCCTCCTTTATTTCCCTTCTTGTCCATGTTCAAGTTTCCCTTGCAACAGCTTCTGACAGGCCAGTATAGAGAGCAGAGAGTGAATGGATGCATCCCACAAGGACCTTCAGTGGCAGCACGTAATGCAACACGCATAAATGCAGGAGATGGTTCAATCCAGATGTGCTGTTCTAACAACCCTACTTTCCCTTCCCTTCTCCATTTCTCAAGAAATGAAAATCAAGTATTCATCAACAACTTGAATGGCTCTGTACTATAAACCAGAAGCTACAACTTTAGTATCAAAACAAACATACATCTCTCATTGCTTCTACCAAAGAAGGAATTAAAGGCATTGCTAGGTGCTTCAAGGACAACAATCATCAGCACTGGGAAAAAGTTAATTTTCTTTCTTTGGTATTCTTGACCACTTTATATTTTCTGGAACCGTGATTTACATTTTAGTAATTCTGGATAGCCTCTTTCAGCTTTTTCCTAGAAGTCTAATTCTTAATCTGTGTAGTTTTGTTGTTTTGTTTACTTAAGAAAGCCATAAAATGCAACTAATGAATAATACAGAATTTTGTGGCAGCAAAAATCTTAAAAAAAAGATCTGAAAATTGGCAGAGATTGGGCATAAATCAATGAACTGAAATAAACACCATGGTGGAAGTACTACTGGTTTACAAGTGAGACTCTCACCACCAGCCTGTGAACTGGTAACAAATTTTCTACTGATCCCAGAAAACAGCATGAATACTTTTAACATAGTGTCTCTCACTGAGCATCTCTATGGCCTGCTGGCAACAACCACGTTCTCCCACTCGGTGGATCTGAGCCCCGCTGACAATACTGCCACAGACACAGTGGGGTGGGATACACCACATCCTCCATGCTTCTGAATCACAGGGATATGAGGGAACAGTGCTGAAATGTGAAGGGATAGAGCAAAAGCTTCCAGGACAAATCACAAGATGTTGTTGATAGTGCTAGAAACAAAAAGTGCCATCCACCTGATTACAACTCCAAGCGAGCTATTAGTTTTTTTGATCTTCTATTACAGTAGACTGCCTCCTTCAGCTAATCCATTTGCATATTTTTAACTTATAGGAAATAACATCCATTAGCATGCTCTTTGAATACTGAGTAAATGTTACAGAAAAACACAAGATATTTTTTAACCTCCAAATATTAATTTGGCTGTATACTATCATATGACACTTGAGAGTATGAACAAGATGTAACCACACCAAGATGGGATAAGCAGAATACTAATATTTATTCATTAAGTGTTTTCTAATGCTTCTTTCTGTAGAAAATAGTTTAGCTGGAGAATGAATGTGGCAGGGAAGCTTCTAGATTTATTATTCAAAGAAAACCAACTCCTGCCTTAAAGAGGTAACACCCAATACTTAGGGAAACACGTCTTACAGCTGAGATGTGTTTGACATGGTTTCTAAAATAAATGCCGGCTTCACTGTAAGGCTCAGCTGCACCTATACACTACACAATCAGACATCCAGATTGTCTTGGGTTCAGCAGTAGCAGTTATTTTTTTCTCCTTCTTAGTAGCTAGTGCAGTGGTGTGGTTTTGAGTTTTGGCCTGGGAACAGCGCTGATAACACCGATGTTTTTAGTTGCTGCTCAGTAATGTTTAGTCTGACCAAGAACTTTCTAAGTCTCATGCTCTGCCAGGGAGGAGGGAAAGCCAGGAGGAAGCAGAGACAGGACACCTGACATAAACTAGCCAAAGAGGTATTCCATACCACAGCATGTCATGCCCAGGACGTAAACTGGGAGTTACCCGAAAGGGCAAGTTCACTGCTGGGTGGGGCGAGGCATCGGTTGGCGGGTGTGAGGTGTTGTATTCTCTTCCCTTGTTATTTCCTTTATCATTATTATTATTGGTGGTAGCAGCAGTGATTTGTGTTATACCTTAGTTACTGGACTGTTCTTATCTCAACCCATGGGAGTTACATTCCTTCTGATTCTCCTCCCCATCCCTCTGGGAGCAGGGGAAGGAAAGAGGAGGGAGTGAGAGAGCAGCTGTATGATTTATGGCTGAGCTTAAACCACGACACAGATGCCAGGCAAAAATCCAAATAAACATGGTGGCTGCCTAACCACATTTCAGTGGTCCCATTCTACACCAGGTTTGACTCACCTCTGCCTCCAAGACACAAGTGTTCAGAATTATTTTGCTATACCATGAACTCAAAATACTTCCAGCGTCCTCATTTTCCTGATCATTAGTCCCCGAACAGCCTTATTTAATTTGAGAACTTCAGAGAATAAAAGCCTTCATCACAATCCCCGGATTTATCAAGTCCAATAATAAAGGGAAGTTTCATTTTGGACCTGATTCAAATCCTGTTGAAGCCAAAAGAAACCTCTTGACAAGCTTCAACAGTCCTTGTTGTTCAGAAAATATTATCCCTCAAAACCAGTCAAATGAAATACAACTAATTAATGCACTTGTATTCTCAGCACCTTAGCCAGGTCTAAGGTGGCAAAACCACCTTAAACCTCCAGCAAAATCATTCAGAGATAGTGTTTGATCCAACAGCACTTAACCTTACTGGACGGCAAGTGTGCAGATGTTACAGTTCCTAAACACGCTGGGAAGAATCCAGTAACATTTTTATAAATTTTGCACTAAATTAAGCATCAGGTGCTTCAACATCTACCTGGATTTTTTACATCTCTGCACCATTTCAGGTGCCTAAATCTTTTTGAAAGCCTTGCTTTGAGCATTTGTCCTGCTAACTTCAAATAAATTTGAGACATTTTGCAAGGCTTAAATTCAGAATAAATCCTTTCTCTGCCTCCATCTTAGGTGAAATGCAGTATTTATGCACACTCTCAGAAGTACAGGCATAGGCGTGTGAAAACCAGTCAGTGACACACTGAAGGCTCAATATAAAAATAAAAAATGTAAATGTCTGTGCAATTTTAAGCACTGTTTAAACATACCCTCAACCGTAAAACAAACTAAAGCCTTTGTGACTTAAAGGAGGGAAACCTCATACATGATTCAAGTGCAGGTGTAGGCTCCTGCAGGCAGAATGCTTCCAGACCTTCCAGAAGTATAAAAACATCTGCAGTAATGGTATTTTCTGAAGTGCTGAAAAACATGATTAAAAGGCAAACTGTGATGCGTAAAGAGAGGCATAACATGGAGACAGGGAAAAACAGGACACAGTTTTAACTTTCACACAGTAGTTGACAGTTTAAATTGATAAAAAGTCACATGTCAATTCTACACACAGACTTCCCCCAAATATATTCTTTCCCCATCTTTAACAGCAGGGTTTAACTCAGCTCTTCCCCTTTTCCTGATAGGTAAAAAAAATTGCATAATCTGCTAACTGAATTGCACAGGCAAACCTTTTCGTTCACCTGAATCCTGCTGGGAAAATATGACTGAAATTTAACTGTTGTTGGTCAGATTAAAAAGAAATCCAGTGCACATCAGAAATTTTTCAGGCGTTAATAAACAGCCACAGATACATGTGAAATCAGTGTGCTTGTCCCCGCCTGCAGCTCCTTCTGCTAAGTGACCTCTACCTCTGACTTTCCAGCCTAGAACTGGTTAATTGCCTTTCTCTGTTCCTGTTATTTATGCTACAGCAGAAACCTCAAGCCAGGTCAGCTCTTCTGCAAGTAGCAGAAAATGACTTCAGTGTTAAGCTCTTCGTGGCAGAATATAACCAGACAGACAGAAGGGCTGAAAGTGCAAACAGAGGCAAAGGAGTAAGAAGGCTTTTTGTTCAAAATGAAGAGCATACCACTAACAGGACCATAAACCAGCATCTCCCAGTTGTGGGATCACTACAGTTGTTCAACAGCTTTGCCTGGATCCTAACATATGGTTTATTATATACCTTTTCAGGAAATCCATTACAGCCATCATCTTTTTTTCACATTACCAAAGAAGGTTTTCTTCAGCATCTTCATCCTTGCCACACATACAGTTATACTCATTCATTTCTGTTTCCTCTTCCCCTGACCTTACCTTGACCCTACCACATCTCTAGTCCAAGGCTCTGGAGGAAGACAGGGGAAAAGTATAAAAATTAAATGAGTCAGCAGTTTCTGTGCAGCACACAAGCATTAGTCAGAGGTGCTCAGGGTACTCACCACACAGTCAGATGTGAATGAGTTTAAAACCACCAAAAGATTGGTGGGCAAACTTTCCCAAACACCTGAAACTGAATCACTGGGCAAAGCCAGCCTGTGGACAAAGCACCTGGGGAAAAAACACATACTGGGCTGCCACGTACCAGCGCCAAAACACAACAAAGTGTACAGGGTATTGCTCTCAGTCACATTTCTAGTTTCTTCACAAAAAAAAGTCCACTGCATTCAGTACAGCTAAATCAAACACACCTCAGAAGAAATTTGCTTTGACTCACATAACATTTTCCCTAACAAAGGCGGCCCACAGTTGCAAAAGCTTTCACTGACTAAAGCATAGGCACACTGCACAACAATGCATTGTTGCCTTCTTGTTCATCTGCTCCCTTCCCTGGGCATATCAACAGCAGCAGTAATGACACAATTAGTTAGGGAAGTGCTCTTCTACATCATGCAATGGATATTTGGCTTTTTAAAATTTAAACCAGAATTACTAATACAAGTTCTAAGGCCCAGAAGTGCATTTTTGTGATACAGGAATATCATCTTGGTAACCTCACCACAGCTGTGACAGTGTCTTCCTGCACTGAAGAGATTTCAAGGGGCGTTACTGCTGGCCTTCACCTTCCAACAATAAAATCAGGGTATACAACTGAGAACAGTAAGCTGCCTCTTTTCAGCAGGGCAGAGCACAGGCATAGGATTCTCATCAAGTTCCTGTAAGAGAACTCTCCTTCTACACAGGTCTTCTCTGTTATGGAACAGTAAGTGCACTAAACTGTAAATGATGTACAACTGTCATTCCAGGAAAGCATGCCTCATTCCAACGCAAAGACGCTTCAGTGCCCCTGGATTTTGGGTGGACAGAACAAGACTTGCTAAAAGAAAACAACCTCCCCACCAAACTGACACCTCCTGGGTCTCAACACACTTCATTACCATGCTCTGGGCATAGTGTTCTCTGTTCTGTGACTCTGGGCAAGCATTATCCTCACTGTGTAGTTTCTCCACTTCTAAAATATAATACTAAAAACCTGTTAAAGTACTTGCCAACAACACAAGCAAACTTTGCTCAAGAGCAACCTTTATCCATCAGCAGTTTACAATATTTCCCCTGCTCATTGGAGGCTTTCTGTTTTATTCTTCCACATGAATCCTGGCCGTCTTGTCTTCCAGAAAATGCGGTTGAAGCTACATTTTTAGACACAGTTTATTTAGGCATTGTTATGCAAAACATTAATAGAAAAGAACAAAGTTATGCATAATATTTACACAAATTCCTAAAATGGATCGAAATGTATTTTAAACCACTGTATTTGGAAAAACACAACATTAGATCAGATAACAGCTTGAGAAAGCTGTTGGTCAGTAAATGACAGGAAACATCTACAGCACAAGCAACTGCTTTAGTGATCCACTCAGTCAGTCTTTATACAGAGATAGGCCTTGTTTACCATAAACAGTCCTCTGTATGTCTCATTCACATGAGAAGTTAGAGAATATGGCTGCAATAGTGTCTCTACTCCACCAGCTTTTAATTCTTTTGCAATTTAGTGAGGTGATTACCAGTACAAGCTGAGACTACAATCACCTGGCACAACTTCCTGAGCTGGATACATCGCTGGTTTTAACAAAATGCTTGAGGGGGTGGGGGGGGGGGGGTGGGGGGTTAGTGGTGGGTTTTTTGGTTGGGTTTTTTGGTTTGGTTTGTTTTTTTTTTTGAGAATGTTTCTTGTATCCTTCCACTTCTTGTATTGTCAGTTTTGACATAGCAGCAAGGCTGCTCTCCAATACAAGTACCTGCATAAGGTACAGCATTCTTAAATGTCTGCACACGCTCCAGAAACACAACTCTTAGAAATGCATAACAAAGATACAGATGAGAAGTTTCCATATGACATTGTTCAAACAGATGCTTTTCTTGGTTGCTTCTTTTTAGATATGCAAGTGCTCACTTGTTGAAACAAATGCTACAAAGGGTTACTTCGTATTTAAACAACAGCCCCCTCAGAGTTCTCCTTTCACCACTTGGTATCGGTCGACAAACCTTAAACCAGTTTGTGGTTGGTATCTAATTCGGCTTAAATATCTCTAAGAGACACAGGGAGATGAAGGGCTTTTACAACACGTGAGCACATCACCAGAGAGGCAGGCTCCCCAGTCCTCCGCCCAACCACGGCTCACGCTACCTCACCTCATCGGCACGATTTTCGGTACCATGTTAAAATCAGCCACCGCGACCTGTGACTGTAACTGCACGCCTCTCCACACGACCCCCTCCCGCTACGGACAAGCGCCTTCGGCGAGGAGGAGGCACCGAATAGGCGACCGCACAGGACCGTTTCCACAGCAACCGCCCTGCCCGCACCCTCCTCCCGCCATCGCCAGCCCCGCCGGGGCAAGACCGAAAGGAAAGTGGAAGGGGCCGCGGTGACCGCCCGATCCGGCCCGGCCGTCAGAGGCCCCCCCCCCCCCAGCGTGCAAAGGCCGCCGCCGTAGCTCCCCCGTTTCCACGGAAACACCGGCACGGGCCGCGCTCGCCACACAAAGGGGGCCCGCGGACAGCAACAAAATTCTCGGCGGCCGCAGGAAAAACGGAGCGAAGGGGCCAGGCGACGGCGGCGGCTCAAAAGACCCGGCCCAGCGGCGAATAAATCAGGGAACTTCTGTCCGCAGCCCGCCTCCCGCCCAGCCGCGCCCCGCCTCGCTCGCACATCCCGCCGGCGGCTGCCGGCCCCTTGGCTTGCCGCGCCAGCGCGCCGGGAGGTGGCTGTTTTAGGAAGGGAGCTGGGACGGGGATGCTTCAGGGCTGCTTTTTCCGAACGAGACACCAGGGCGGGTGGAGAAGGGCGGCCCCACACCTGAGGAGCTCGCTGGCCGCCAGGGAAAGAGCACGTACCTGGCGCCGCGGGACCTTGGCATGCGCGCCGCGCTGAGGCACCGGGAGCGACAAGGCGGCGGCCGAGCCGCACCAACTGCCACTAGTTTGCACGCGCCGGGAGGCGGCCGGCTCGGGCGGGGCCGCCAGGCTCCACCCGCCGGGCGGCTCCAGGAAGAAAAGGGCGCCCCTCGCCTTCCCTCCCCATCGGCGCTGCCATGTCACTTCCTCCCGGGGCGGCGGGAGAGGGGCGACAGCTACCCCGCACCGCCTCCCTCTGCTCTGCGGAGCGCCGCCCGACAGCGAGTGGAGCGAAGCGGGAGGGCTCTGCCGCTGCGGAGCGCGGGGGGACGGCGGAAGGGCGGCTCTGAGGGGGAAGCGGCGGCCCCAGTCCCCAAAGGGACGCAGCATCCCTTTTACGGGGGTAAAGGTGGAGGGGGGCTGGTTGGGCCGTGGCCGCAGCGGAGTACTGCTGTAGGGCAGACTTGCGGGGTGACGGTCACCTGTGAGTGTCTGCCACTTCCAGCAGCACCTGGAGAGCAGTACCAAGGCCATGACCAGAGCGCTGTGGAGAAAAATAAATGCACATGGCAGTCATCCAAGCACCGTGTACCCTTACTCACAATATTCCCTCTCTGAAAATGCGAACATCCGCTGTGGAGCTCTGACAGTGGAGTGAAAAGCAGCTTCCCTGAATAGAGTAGCAAGAACCGAGCCTGTTAAACACCCTAAGCACTGGAAGGTGGTAATGCATGGGTGACCTCATAGCAGCCTTCCAGTGTCTGAAGGGGGCCTATAGGGATGCTGGAGAGGGACTCTTCATTAGAGACTGTAGTGATAGGACAAGGGGTAATGGGTTAAAACTTAAACAGGGGAAGTTTAGGTTGGATATAAGAAGGAAATTCTTTCCTGTTAGGGTGGTGAGGCACTGGAATGGGTTGCCCAGGGAGGCTGTGAATGCTCCATCCCTGGCAGTGTTCAAGACCAGGTTGGACGAGGCCTTGGGTGATATGATTTAGCGTAAGGTGTCCCTGCCCATGACAGGGGGGTTGGAACTAGATGATCTTAAGGTCCTTTCCAACCCTAACTATTCTATGATTCTATGATTCTGTGATGTACCGCCAGGACAGCACTGTCACCTCTGCAGGGTGTGTGATTGCACTAGGCCAGGAGGGCTCCAGAGGCTGGGGAACAACTAGGGGAGACCTGGGTGAGCTGGCCAGAGCAGAGCCCTGTAGTCCTGGTCTGTAACAGCCACATTGCATCACTGTTTACACTCAGTGTAAACTGGTTTTCTTTTTTAAAAGGGCTTGAAGCAAACACTGAACAATGGGAGTTGTACTATGCGTTAAGGAGGGGGGAAAGAGGGTATACACAAGACTTCCCAGACTAGTTGCTGCAAGAAAGAAGTGTCCTGACTATCACATTTGGGAGGAGCAAGAAGCTATAACTCTTCTTGGTGAGCAGCAAGAGCAAGGCTTCTTGGTGCCCAAGGGAAGAAGAGCCTAGAGCTGAGGGTGACCACTGGGCAGGCAGTATCCTTACCAGCCAGAGCTCTGTCCCACAACACCAGAACAGAGCAGTCACAGCAGAGTGCAGAGAGAGTCCTGGGCAAGATGAAACAATGAATCAGGTGCAGAGTTTGTATAAAGGGAATCCAGTCACACCATAGCTGGAGATGGGGCTACACCATAGATCCACCCAGGAAACAAGGCAGGAGACTAAACAGAAGGCACATCCATCTACTAGATAGGTCAGGCAAGGACTGAAGTCCCAGACGTGGGCTTAAATGAAGCCATGGTCTATATGCAGGGTGGGTGGATGGGGAGCCTAGGTCAGGGCCATTAAGGGCTAGCAGTGCCATCAGGGCCCTCTCAGGTTACTGCTGGTGGGGTGGGTGAGTGTGCTGTTTAGGAGGTTGAGATTTGGCAACCTACCTCCCATTTGGTCATGAAGGAGTTGAATTCAGCTCACTCAACATCCTCAAGCCAGTGGTCTAACTGCTGAACAGTTACATAAAGATAGATAGAGGGCATTTCTGCAGCCATACTTTAAGACTGACCTTGTGGCTGCATTTGGAAAAAGGGACAGTTCCAGGCAGAGGGAGAAGACTTACAATCCCTTACAATTCCTCTACTTAATTCTGGAGAGTGGCTGGGAGTAGCACAGCTCTGTCCTAAGCATCCCCTACTAGCTACTTGAAGCTGCTTTGTGTACTACACATGCAGATTTTTTGGGTGTTATTCCAAGACATCTCACTCAGTGTATAGGTGTTATCCTGAGAGCCAAAGGTCCAAAAGTCAGGCCCCCTGATGCTGTGTGTGGTCATGCCTGAACATCTTTTACATATCTAGCCTTGAGACGAAACTGTGGCTGCTTGTTTGTATGTTCCCCATTTTCTGGGAAGCAATAATAAAAATCTGGCTTCTTGCTTTCATTAGTGTTAAGCTGCAGCTGAATATAATAGGATTTATGGATGCTTTACACCTGGAAAACTCTCCAGTGAAGAGATAAATCTAGTTCTCAAAAGTCTAACCAAAGAAATGTGAATAATAAACCCCTCGTAATTAAATTGGAGTTTAAAAGGTAAATGTATTAATCTTATGGAGCTGTTAGATACCATGGTAATAGTTGAGACTAGAAAGCCCATAGAAAAGAAAAACGCTTCTGTCTTAAGAGCAAGGTTTGCGAGGTCCTCACTTTGTATTTCTTTAGTTGCTACTAACAAGGAGGATGAAAAGGAATCAGACTAAAAAAAGCTGGACCCCAGTCCTGCTCACTACATGCACTTTGAAGTGCCTTGTGAATTCGATTTCACAAATTTAATTGCAGGCCAGAGCTTCTCTATTCTGGAAAGTTCTTCAGTTCTAGATAGAGGTCCTAGAGGGAGAGGCAGCACTGCTAGTGTTGATGCTGCTAGACTGATAGGATGGATACTACATAGGGATACGCTATGATACACTGCCGTGCACAGCTAGACTCTTTGAATCCCTGTTTGCTCTTGCTGCATGTCTTACAGTTAGATTGTCTAATATCCAATAAGGTGCAGATTATAAAAGATATGTTTCCTGTATTTAAAAGCATTCATAATGTTCCTCTTCTGTGTAGGCTGAGTGTAATAAAGGCTGAACTGCAAGCTGTCCCTCCATGCAGGCAATAACAGGAAGTCTTTCCTGTACTTGTCGTATCCATCTTTATGAAATCTGTGGGAAAGTAATTGTGTCTGAGATTTCTGCTGCGTTCTTGGGCTTGATTAAATTCAGCTAACAAGTTCAGGAATTATTGTGAGGATTGATGCGTATAGCATGACTGCACCTTTTTTTTTTTTTTTTTAGGAAGCCAGATGAAAGTACATGTACATGGGTAAGTATATGCTAATAGTGTCGTTAAATATGGAAACCAAAAATGAAAGGTACTGATACAATGCTTTGTTGTAATGATAAAAGCCCTAATACAGATGCAGGTGTACCAGTTTAAATAGGCCAATGGGGGGGGGGAGGGGGGGTGAAAACCACACACTTGGCAGCCCATGTAAGTATCTTTTGTGGGCAAATTTTTCTAATGTGGACTAACCCTAACTTCTCCAGCTTTTTGTTTACCTCAGCTATACAGTGGATCCACTGTTTTCAATCAAAAACCCCACTTCCCTGCACAGAAGCCACCTGGTACCCACAAATGGAAACATCCTCTTAAAACTAAACCCTGGGGCCACAGTTAATTTTAGAAGAGACTCATTCTTTAATTGAGTACACATTAGCAAAAGCGTTGTGTGAGATGCGTTACAGGAATTTCAGCTCCAGACTGTCTAATTTGATCCTTTACTAAGTTTAGTACGTACAGAAAGAATACTGGTTGAGATGCAGAAAAAACATGTTTCTTCTTTCAGCATGCTTCTCTTTCTGCAACAAGTCCATGGCTACTAATAAGTTATGGTGCATTTATCATTTTAAATAATACTATTCCTTTAATAAATACCAAGGATCATACCATACAAAAAGTTTTCAAAGGTACTCTTTGCAGAATTGGACAAAATATTTTCACATCTACTGACATCCACAAAATAAGCACTTACTCCTTACATACGTGCAAATGTAGTTCCCACAATTGTTTTAAGTATTCAACTTGAGCCTACCCTATGAGAAGAGGGACTTCGCTTCTCTCCACACCGGTCTAATACAAAATGCCACAGACTTGTTTTTATGTTTTCCTTGATTTCTTAAAGCTTGATTAAAGTGAAGGCTTCTGCATGGACCACTTCAGACCAAAACTTGGTGGCTCAGATGACTGGTTTTAGAGATACCTGAATGTGCAGATGATGGAGCAGAAGTTTTTACACATGCAAAGGCAGGTGCCGCATGTGCGCACCCACACATGTCTGTGGTATGAGGAAATCTTGCAGATGTGATCAAACATAGTTCAGAGAGTGACAGAATGATGAGGGCTTCAGTGGCACCTTGAAAACACAGAGATCCTATGTCTGTTATTGTCATGGTCATGGGTGTGTGGGGGAGGGTGAAATTCCTCCAAGGTCTTGAAAGAAAGATCACTTTGGAGCTGTAAAGGTGAGTGCAGTTTAGAAACCAGGACACTTAGGAAACTGCCACTCTTCCAGAAGAAGAGATAAGAAACTGTAAACCAAAATGTTTGCCTGAATGACTTGGAACCTGAAGTAGCTCAGATCTTGTAATAACAAATGCTGCTTTTGCATATCTCTGTTTACATCAAGTTTACTGGGGAAGAGTCACACTGGCTGCTCTCCAGGTCTTCAAGGGCAATACGTAATCTGCATATATAGTATACACATACATTAACAGAAACAAATCACACAACTATTAATTTTGATTATATATATGTATATTTCCACCCTTAGAAAAGGAAATAATTATTTCAAAATGATAAGGAGGAGGCTGCTTTGTTGCAATAATGTGTTGACACAAACTATGCAAGCCTTGCATTTTGAGCTTTTACACACTTGCAGAAAATGGCAATCGCTGCAATAAATATGTGCTGCTTGGTCTAGTTCATAGTGAATTCTGTAGCAGTGTCCTGACACTGCGAATGGCTGCATACTCACCCTACCCATAAAAAGACAGCAGCTTTAAGCCACACATAAAGCATTCATTTACATTCTGCCAGTGAGCAACATTAGTTCCCTTGCCAAATTTACATGGAAGTTAGCATTTGATTATCTGTTTGTTTAATTATCAGATTTGGAAAGGTCATGAAAAAAAAAAACAACCAAACTTTTGAGAAGTGGCAGGCAAAATACTCAGACATTGCTCACCGAAGAACT